TCGGTATTATGCTTAGATGACCATACAAATAATGTATACTCATTCCAGGTTTTTTAGAATTTGTTGTTCATCTCAGAGTTTATTATGAATGAAAATCAATCGATCGTTAGCTATTTGCATTTAACATTGATTGTCGCTTTTGCATATTAGTAGAAATATTCTTATTTTAGTCTCGCTATAAACGCATTCGCCAGTCGCTCACATGATAGCGTATTTTGATGCAGGAAAGAGAGAGAAAGTAACGTGCGATTTTTTTGCTGGTAATCGGCGATATCTCGTTCACCAGCGGTATTCCAAAAGTTGAGCAACCAAGTCCCGAGATTAATAACGCTCCCAGTCTTGAGATATAACCGATCGATCTGCGTTCCACGCCGACGCGCACGTCTAAATCTAATATTGTTTAAAAGTACCGCCAGCGCGGCGCAGCAATAAATACCTATCACCCGCGTTCGGTAATTAATAACCGTACCGTCCGCATTCAAAAGCCACCGAGTGCCGTACAGGTTCGAAACACGGTCGAAACCGGGGAGAGGTCAGCCGGAACGCCCGTGTGATCCTCCGTAGCTGGGTATCCACTTCTTCTCTCTCTCTCTCTCTCTCTTCTTTTTTTTCCTTTCCCCGCCATGACATACGCTGAAAATTATTGCCGTCGTCCGCGCTGTCCCGTCGCCCTCCTACCCCGGCCCCGTCAACCCTCCCTCCCTCCCGCATGCCCTCTTTCCCCTGTTCCCCACCGATCTTCTTGCGCCCCGTGGACGAGTCGGAGGCGATCCCGGCCTCCCGCGATACGGCACTGACGCCATCGTAGAGATGGGTGCCAGAGCTATCTAAGGGGTGATTTCTAATTTATGAGACTGGGGCGATGTGATGAACAGACGTCATAAAGCATGTCGCGCCCCGCGTCTGCAGCCTGCCATACGCCCTCTCTCTCCCTCCCTCCCACCCCCCTTTTCACCCTCCCTCCGGCCGCCCTCTGGCCACCCTGTCTCCTGACGCCAACGGTGCTCCTCGCCCTCGACCATCCCTGTTATCGCTGTGCCTCCGAGCTCGCCCCTCAGTCCCCCTCTCGTAGCTCTCTTCTACCTTCCAGCGAAACCTTCCTTCCAACGACCGACACCCCCGTCCCGTGATTTGTGGCCTCTCGAATTCTCCTCGCGAGCTCTTCTCCTTCGCGAAACTTGAATTCCCTGCTTCTCGCCTCTTCCACCGTCCACCTCTCTTCGTCAACGTTTACGATCGGACGTCCATCCGGGGGGACTCGACCGAATCCTTTCCATCGAATGAATTCTTTTTTTTTCCTCGGACGGACAATGCCGTAGATTCTCTTCCGGCGATGGCAGTCCGACGTGGTGATAATAAGCGGTGAGATTCCAAAGAATATCTCCCTGATTTTTGTACGCGATTGATTAAGTTACGAATATGTATACGATTGATGTTACAAATAATATTGCAATATTTAACACATCAGCTTAATACGAAACCTACCAAAGAGATACAATATTTTTCGAGCGTATTGTAATTTACAGATGACATCTTGTAAAAAAATTATCTTTGTTGTTATTATTATTCGTAATTTCTCATTATTATAAAATAATATTTAGCTGAAAACGGTTAAGTATTTGCGGCCATAAGCCATTTGCATTCCTCTTTAGAAAATACGCAATTGTACGATTCTATAATAAATCGATTAATACTTAATTGTTCGTTAAACTTAATTAAATTTCCTTTAAAAATAAAACTCGTTAGAACGATCGCATTTGATCCAAATCGTCGGCGATGAGAGCCAAAAAAAGTATTCCGTGCCACACAGATATTTTTTTATGTCTCGTTGATGAAACTCCTATTTTTCAAGAATAGTATACCTTTTCAGTAAGCGTCAGACGTCGCGCCAATTTTCACCTTAATTTCCTGCTGGTACGCGAAACGGGATATATTTGCAGGATGACCTTAATATCCGCGTCTGGATATACCGGTGTATCATTGCGCCTGTCCGTCACAATTAACCTGTGATCGAGTGCTACTCTCTCAATCTTGTATATCAATGATCAGTAAGAGATCTCACAGACACATCTCTCTCCATATCTTTCGCGATGTAACTATTTTCTCTCGCGTTCGAAAGAGATTTGAACCAGATACGAGTATATTAAATCATCTGCACGTGATATTATTATTCAGAAGAGCGCGACGGCGCGAACTTTTATGAAAATATCAATCCCACACGCTTGATAGAAGATATTTATAACAATTCCATAACAACGCAACAAACGCGGCTATTAGTGAAATAAAAACGTCACGTACACGTAGGTATATATTATAATATATTGTGATGTGTAAGATTTTAATAAGCATGACATAATCAAGTTTAAATATTTAAATTAACGTAAAGTTTAATTTTTGAATTAACGTAGAACGTAAAGCTAACATATAACATTATATGTATGCAATTTATCAAATTATCATGCGTTAAACATATTTCATAAATATTACTTGTACATACTATTACTTTTCTTTATTGATTTCATCCGGTGTTCTCTTAGTACTTTTTAAAATTATCTGTGATGAATATATATTTATAGTATAGAGCTAAATCCATCGCAGACAAGACCGTATTATACAGCGGTCCTATTATTCTGAAAGGTTACATGCATTATTTCGCGAACGATCATTGCTGACTGCCATCTAGACGGACTGCCAATAATACTCGGTCTCGATTAACTACTAACGCGGAGCCAATTTGAGAAAAATCGAAGCCAGACGTAGCAACAAGATATAAGTAGTAAATTGTCATAGTTTTAGATCGGACTAGTCTAAAACTAGAAGTCTATAAAGTCTTATACATAATATACATGCTGCTTACATATGTCATGCTGCTTGTTAATATCGAAAAAAATAGTATATTCGACGAGATTTATTTACTACCTTAAACAATTTATTTACAATCTATTTACCATTCCTTGGAACTTTAAATCAACCAGTATCAATGTATTTTCAGTTCTTTTCTTCTGTTTCTGAAGAAAATATATTATGAATAGATATTAAAATTTTCACACCTGAAGTTCTTGTATTGTTCAATTTCTGTATTTTAAAGAACGTGCCGTCTGCATTCATCGATCTATCGGCGAAAATAGAGATGCACACCAACAAAATTGTGCATATATATAGCATAATGCAGTCTAAGGCACACACAGAAACATGTACGAGCTATTTTTTTTATAGAAAACACTAAAACTGCAGTCTCGAAAAATGTACTGTTTTTGACGTTCTTGTGTGATCATCTTTTTTCTTCATAACATATGTGCATGTTACACCGCTCGCACATGTATAAGAAATTTGTTGTAATTTCCAACAGATAAATATTGAGTCATACAGGGCAGTCACATACGTACACGCAATAAATCGTACATAACCGGCGAAGTAATTTTTTTGTATGAGAAGACAAATAAATATAAAATACATTCTTTTCATGGTTCAATTCTCGAGAAGAATAATTTCGAGCAGAAGCTGTTTATCGTTAAGTCAGATCTATAAGCAGTGATTTAACGTTGAATACTTTTGTTCGCGTTTGATTGACGCCTACGTATCGCGTACGCGTTCACGAGACCTACTTCAATCTGTACGAGGACGCGAATCGATGGATGCGCGGCGCCGACAAGTCGAAGAAGAAACGGAAACACGACGTAAGGAGCAGCGGCGCGGCGCGGCACGGCGCGCGCCGGCTTCGTTCAAGTCACGGCGCCGCACCTGGCGCGACTTTATGCCCGCGAAAATCTGCCGAGTAATCGGCTCTAACATGGCCGTAACATCGTGCAAATTGTCGTGCTATAGTATACCGCGCGCCGGTGCCGGCCACTCGAGACGCGATGAAACGATCACGATCAGATCGAGCAGGCGGGTAGGCAGGCAGGCAGGCGGGCAGGTAGGTATCATCTCGAGGCAGGTAGTCGTCGGCACGACGCGACGGTGGGGTAAGAGGAGCCGCGGGCGGGAAGACGTTCCCGGGGGAGGGAGGGGAGTGAGGAAACGGTTTGAAACGTGCGGCGCGGCCCACGGAACCTTTGTGAAAAATCGTGTTATAACCCTAATTTAATTTTATGGCCGGCATTACGGCGGATTGTGTTGTATATCGGGGCCCGGGCATAATGGCCGTATATGACCGCGTATAATAATGGTGAAAGAGCGAGCGAGAAAGCAGAACGAGGGGAGCGTGCGAACGGACGGATAGAGCGAGAGAGAGAGAGAAAGGAAAGAAAGAGAGCGAGAATTGGCGACGAGAAAGGGGGTAGGAAAGGGGGGTAATAATCAGTTGTAACGCGAACCGTCGTAAACCGCAAAACAACGAGAATCGAAAGAGGGTGTAGAAGAGAAAGAAAAAGGAAACGCGCAACCGAACGGCGGCGACGGCGGCGGCGGCGGCGGTGGCCGCGGTAGCGGGGGATAGGGGGGGGGGGCGATTGTATGTTTATATTTAAGGGGTTGATGGCGGAGAGAGTATCATTATCTCGAAAATAGACGGAAGACGGTGGGACTTTTTCGTCCATCCCGCTCCTCCCCCATGAGGACACGGATCTTCGGCAACATGACTGCCGAAAATCGGTGGTCTCAATATGCTCGACGCGAACTGACCGGCCGTTATAATGCCGGTGTGACGTCACGACAGTGCGCCTAATTTCACGCTGCGAAGAATGTACCGCCGCGCGTAATTTACTCGCGTCCTGCGAATTTGAAATCCGCTATGTTACATAGCGTCACTTCTCAACAGGCAAAAAGACACGAGAAACCCGGAGCAGGCGCGACACGATCTCGCGCTAACGTAACGCGACTACGGTATACACGACAAAAATTTGGGGAGCGGGGGGCGGGAACGTCCCTTCCAGAAAAGCCGGGCGAATTAATCGAGAATCATAACCGACCGCGTCTACCAAAGAGAACAGCGCTCCGAGCGTTCATTTATACTCCTCAAGTTTATTTTCGACAAATAAAGAGAAACAATTGCGACTCACTTTGCGTATCGTCCTGCCAGTCCAGCCAGAATGCCTCAACTCTCAAGTCCTGCAGGTCCGCCATTTGCAATGATCGAATAGGTAGACTGCGTTGCCTCGTCTCGTCCGATCGTCGCAAGACGCATTAATCGCGATCGCCCGGACCATCAGTGCACTCGAAACGATCGCCCGTCGCTCGATTCGACACTTTCGGCACTTGTTCGCACGCGAAACTCACATCCGGCGGATAAAACGACGCGAGAAACACGGAGCGGTCGCGATCCGCCGTCTCCCCGCGCGCTACGTCATCGGACTGAATACAGCCGTTAAAAATTAAAGTGAAAGGAAAGGGGGGAGGGAAGATGCGTTCATCAAGCGTTCACGCTGCGAGCGGCGCTTCGCGGGCCTATCAACGATCGCGCGCGACTCCCGAATTCACTTGCGGGTGAAACGGAAATTTTCAAAAATTCACTGTACGCAACGACGACAGATACGTTGCTTCGACGCGAAATTCACTCTCGGCGAGCGAGGAGACGCAAATCGCCTGCAAATAGCCGCAAGAGTATACTGTAAAACGTAAGCAGTAAGCTATTGACCAATTACAGTCGATTTGAAAATCTTATTAGTCAATAGCTTACTGCTTACGTTTTACAGCACACTCTTGCGCGGCTATTGTAGACGAGCCATTAAATCCGTTGTGTCTATGCGATAAGTCAATTAAAATGCTCGCGTCGCTCGATTCCGACACTTCCGGCTTCTTCGTCTTCTTCTTCCTATATAATAGCACTCGTTTTCAAGACGAAGACGATACCGGTCAGGACACTTTCGGCACTCATTCGCGCACAAGCACAAGATTCACGATCGAGGGTGACGAGGGTTTAGAGAACGCGAAAAACGCGGAGCGGACTGAACACACCGACACAGCCCCGAATTCGCACTAATACTGACCGCGACTATGGCAATAGGAAAAATTCGGCGAGTTGGGGAGTAGTGGAGTGGGGAGAGTACGCCGCGTCGAGCGTCGCGCGAGGCGAGGCTCTTCCAAGAAAAGCCTAAAAAAATGTAAACAACCTCGGGCGACATTACGCAGCCAATAAACGGTAGCAGAGCGACGGTTCGCGAGCGTCGTGCGAGGCTCTTCCAAGAAAAGCCTAAAAAAACGTAAACAACCTCAGGCGACATTACGCAGCTAATAAACGGTAGCAGAGCGACCTAATCGAGAAACATTGTCCGTTTACTCCGTTTATCTTAAGGTAAACGGAGTAAACGGACAGTGTTTCTCGGCGCGGCGACGAGTGCGATGAGCAGGAACACGAATCGTGTGATTCGTGGCTAATATCAAGCGAGTCGATATGCCACTCTCGCGTGAGAAATTTATTCGCGCAGTGTTTTAATATTATGCGAAAATGTGAGTTAATCCGTACTGAATAAAGCGTTGTTTCGACCCAGCTGCATACATATGTAACTTATCTTTCGAGAAATTTTGCGAGTGGTCTTCTCCGTTTTCGCGTAATATCGCTCGTATTTGAAACCGGCGCCGGTCGCGGCGTGAACGCTTGACGAACGCACCTCCCCCCCCGCCCCTCTCCTTTCGATTTTTAACGGCCCGCGGCCGTATTCGCAATCAGTTCAGTCGTCCGATCGCGTAGCGCGCGGGTCGGGGAGACGGCGGATCGCGACCGCTCCGTGTTTCTCGCGTCTTTTTATCCGCCGAATGCGAATCTCGCGAGTGAACGAGTGTCGGGAGTGTCGAATCGAGCGACGGGCGTTCGTCTCAAGTGCACTGGTGGTCCGGACGATCGCGATTAATGGGTCTTGCGACATTCGGAGGCGGCGGCAACGCGGTCTACCTGTTCGGGTCATTGCATATGGCGGACTTGCGGGACTTGAGGCATTCTTGGCTGGACTGGCAGGACGATACGCAAAGTGAGTCGCAATCGTTTCTCTTTATTTGTCGAAAATGAACTTAAGGAGTATAAATGAACGCTTCGGAGCGCTGTTCTTTTTGGTAGACGGTCGGTTATGATTCTCAATTAATTCGCCCGTCTTTTCTGGAAGGGACGTTCTCGCCCCCCCCCCTGCGCCCCGCGCTCTTTTCGCACAAATTTTTGTCGTGTATACCGTAGTCGCGTTACGTTAGCGCGAAATCGTGTCGCGCCTGCTCCGCGTTTTTCTTTGTTGTCTGTCGAGAAGAAGCGACGCTATGTGACATAGCGAATTTGGAAAGCATCAATTTTGCGAGTGATGCGAGTGAATTACTCGCGCGCGCGCGCGCGGGCGGGGAGGCATCCTTCGCCGCGTCGCGTCGCAGCGTGAAATTAGGCGCACTGACGTGACGTCACACGGCGCTATAACGGCCGGTCAGTTTGCGTGGAGCACAGTGATATTCAGAATGGAGTCGTGGCTTCTCGGCAACATGAAGGGATAGGCTGCTGACTTAGGTACGGCGTGTTTGGTGTGCCGAGAAGAAGCCGGCTCCATTCTCACGTCACTGCCCCCAGCCCCCGAGTCCGCGTTTCGACTCGCGTCGCGGTCCCCCTCGATAGCCGTCAAACGTGACGGCTATCGAAACTTTACGCTTTACGTGACCACTTGGCGCCACCAATCGTAAAGCTCTCTCTCGCCAATCAAGCCGCAAACTCGATCTGTTCGGCGGTACACTAATTTCCGTCTCTCTTTCTCGCGCGAGCTATGTATAAATTATAATTTATACACTCGGAACACGAGGCTTGAACAAGTAGACTACTTTTTTCTACCTATCTTTTTTTGGTTATCTTTCGGCGTACGCAAGCTATCTGTCTTCCTTCCTCTTGCTGCCTCTCTCGATCTTATCTCTATCTCGATTCGTGTAAACGGGTCTCTTTGCAAATGCTTTTATCATTCTGCTTGTCAAATAACTAATCAATGAATAATTGTTAAATTCTTATTTATATCATTATTACACATTATCATTTTTTCAACGTAACTGGCATCGATTCTTTTCGATTTTTAACGACAATAGACAATTATTATTTTTTAATGAAGAGGTAAAAATTTAATTGAAGGAGAAATTTTTTAATTTTATATAACGAATAATTAAATAAATAAATTTGTAATATTACGAATGTAAGAAAAGTAAAGAGATGTCGCTTATTAATGTATTTATTATTTATGTCGTGCAATCTTTTTCAATCTACGTTTTTCTATATCTATTCATTAGCGTATCGTCACGTTTTTTTACTTTTATTTCCGTCATTATTTTTACGTTTTATAGTCAACTGTTATAGCGCGAAACGTTAATTCGTATTTTTCCAATTTAATTTGTTCACATCTAAAGAGACACTGAGAGCATTTAAGATTTGGAATATATGTGATAAATTTTACGCTTTATACTCTCTACTTCCTCTGTCGCAACGCGAGAAGGCACGTTCTTGCAAACTCTCGATTTCCAACGCATCGATTGCGGCGACCGTGAAAACGGCCGATAAACTCGCCGTGTCGCGATTTCGGATTTTAATATATACAGAGCGTGAAATTATGAATATAAGAGATTAGAATAAAATCGGCGTTTTTTATACAGATAAGTATAATTAATAATTGTTGTGTTTCTTGTTGGATAAATTAAGTAAAATATGCTATGCTATGCTAAATATGCTAACAGAACCAAATACGCTATTTCTTCCTGAAACTGAAATTCTTTCATTTGTGCTTGCGCGCGTGTAATGCGTATTAAAAGAATATTCACCAATTTGTATAATGGAAGGATTTTGGAATTATGCCAGGCAGAATTATTATGCTATTAAATTTGATGTACATCTACATATATTCCACATACATATGTATATCTAATACAATTTTCACAGATCCATCGCCCCAAATTAAAATAGAAGATAATTTGTCACTCGCCGCGTTGTAATACATTGATCTCTAAAATGCAGATATATTCAATTACAGCGGCGCTCAAAATAATTAACATTTTGAAAGTAATTATTACGCGGATATAATAACTATAAGTGGTTAGTTTCACAGGTAGCAAATAAGAGAACAAATAAATTACTTATCCTGTGATTGCCTCGCCGACGACGCCCGATGTCTCTCACAGGTTTCCTCTCTTCCCCTCTTCTCTCGTTTCTTCGTTGCTTCTTCTTTGCGGCATTTAACGCTCACTCGTGAAAACATGGTTAATTACGATCACGCGTATACTAATTACATCAGAATACGATCGCGCGGCGCTTTCCATGGCGCTCCCCAACGTTAATCGTGCATGACACGCGTTCAGCGTACTGCAACAAAATAATAACGCCAAAAATGTATTGTCGCAGGAAGATACGATCCACTTGATACCCGCGAGGCAAATTAACGCGGACGGAGACAATTTTTTAACATTAATATATAAACGCCAAATTTATATTGCACGGTTGATTAGATGATAGATACATAGATAAATATTAAGATATATTTACTGACTGAATGCTAAGGCGGCTTTATCGTTTTAATTTCTATTTCAAATTAATAAATTATGCAAAATATCTAATTCCATAAAGCCATTAGTGTGAGTTACGTAACGACCGTGATTAGTAACTCATATTGAGTTATGCAAATGCTGATTCTAATAATCTAATAATTTAATAATCAAATCATTTCAATAATTTTTAAAACTAATGGGAAGGATGAGAATGTTCGACATATCGCAGTATTATGTGCCGCTGAAGACCAGCACCGCACATGCACCTGCCAATTCGTTGCCGACAAAATATTTAAGGGTGAATCCAAGCTAGCAAAGAGATGATCGATTTCTTCTTCTTTAAAATTCCTTGGCACCAGACCGCTAAGTTGCGAGTCTATTTGGCATATGATAAATGATTGCGAACATTCACGGATGGACATGGATAAATATAGTGACCGCTTTTTCTTTGATGTTCCGAAAAAAGATGGAGCCTATTCGTCGATGTAAAAAATTTAGGCTCGTTCGTACTCGTGGCGCCATTCGCTCTCATTAAAATAAGTTTCTTCATTCGTGTTCGTTCACGCTCTTTACTTACTTACAATTAGCCTACAGCTTTATAAAATAAATTTACGTTGAACGTTTTTTTCTCTCTGTTTCACATTAATTTCCATGAATGAACTATTATATTAAAAACGCATATTTATTTAAAAAATATTTGAGTTTATCTATCGGAAAAATATTGTATAAATTAATTCATTATCATTACTTTCCTCTAATTTTTGACAGCCCGAAAGAAGTAAAACACGATTTTCATTCATCAAGAAATGTGATTTTAATAAATTAAAAAAATAAGATGAAATGTGATGATATATTTTCTTTATTTATTAAAATTTCACGATTTTATTTCTTTCGGGAAAAAATAAAAATTGCCGTTTTTTGATCATACAAAACGAAGATTAATTTTATTCTTCAAAAGTGCGGATTTAACGTTAAATTTAACTCTTTTAAAACGGAGTAATTAATTTTGTCAATTTTAAGTGGACTTAAATCGATAATTTAAATCTTTATTTGGAAAAGTATTAAATACTATTGTGTAATATACTGGACTGGAATTTAATAGTGAAACAGTTAAGAAAGTTGGTTCATATTGGTTGCCAACATCTTCGGAAAGCCT